AAGAAACCACAAAATATGGAGAAATTAAAAATTAAAATGAAGAAATGAGGGGATACATGGTTTCACACGACCTTTACCATATACCATGCCAGGTTTCAGAGCAGGACAGGCCCTGGTATTCTCTGTACGACACCAACAGCTCAGGAGCGTACATTGCAGGTGTGAACACTGCCGCCATACTCACTATCCTTGATTGTGCAACAAGGCTGTCATCTCTAAAGAGGACGTCTTGCTACCACTGGAGGAACGATGACCTTTTTCGTAGTTAATTGACACACACCTCATATCTGTGGATAATTCCTGAAATCTTACTCATCAAATATTCAGAACTGAAGTGAGTGTAATGTATGTAAGACATACAAAAACAGGATAGAATTACCAGTTTAATTCATTATAGATTTTAAAGACGAATCTTAATTATAATGATGAGATGTAAATAGTCGTGATTAAAGTGAATATAAAACATAAATTTTGAATTCCACAAATACCAGACAGTATTGATATTAAATATACACGCTTTGCTTTTCTAGTGTGTTGCACGTTTTGTTAAAGGGAAATATTTCAGGTAGGTACACTGAAGTTGTATCATTAATGATTTATTTTAATGTGTTGAAAAAGGAAATTCATATCTAAAACAGTTTTGCCATTGAATAATAAGCTTAGTATGGTTCAAAAAGTCCTTCACATCATGATAAGGTTTAAACGGGATATTCCTGGCGCATTGTTGATAATCTGTAAATTTTAAGGACCCCGCAAATGACTTTTAAGTGTATTTTCAGCATTTAAATATTTTTCATGTGGTTGGTTCGGTCAAACGAAATTGATGTAAATACCCCTAGCCAATTCAAAATATCGCATGATTATCTCCAAAGACGAAAGTGAAAGCACAATGTCCGATCCAACACGGCGACACCGTTAGAAAACTAGAAAAAAATCCTGTTTGCTTCATATAGAACACGTACACTTCGTATATATGCAAAAAAAGATACTAGATTGCATGAAAAATCGTTTGGGGCTAAATGATAAAGAGTGAATCCAGTAAGTTGCCATGTTTTTGGTGCAAAGTTACGGAGCCAATTTACTGCCATGCTTTATACTCATTTCATTTCGTTTTTCCCCCGATATTCGTTAATTCGAATATTAATTCGGAAAAAGAAGTAATGTTTCGTCAAAACGAATTGATATTTCGATGATACGAAATAACATTTCGAAAAAAATGTAATTTACGAAAAAAAAGAGATAAATAAGCATGTCATTAAACGGGCTCCGTACAAAGATTTTCCGATCCAGCTTTATTTTTTTTATTTTACCCATTATTTGTCTGATTCCCCCCCCCCCCCCCCCCCCCCATTATTATTGTAGAACAGCACCTAACGAAGTCCGTATTTGTCGGGAATATTGCTTTTAAAATGTTAATTTGGCGTACACAGACGATGCAGAGTGCAATCAACACAATTGCTATTACAGATGATTTTCTTTTTCTATTACCCGAAGATAATACATGAACATATGACAACGAGACATAAATCATATTGCACATAAATGACCACGCAAGCTGCCAGACCACACTTTCGAACCTTTGGCATAAAAAAGCCAGTAAGTCACTGCGAGAATGGTTATAACCTAATCATACAGAAGAATGACGGTGGTTTTAAACGATTAATCTTGAAACCAGAATAGGACACTGTCAGTAGACGTACTTCACGAACACCTATAGTTAAAATATAGTAATCCAGACTTGCGTGTCTGTATCATATGTAGTGCGGCAAAGTATCATGCAATGGAAGTGAAAGTAATAAATCACTCTAAGTTTAAATCAATTCAGTTTATTTTTACATCTTTCGAATCCTGATGACATCTGTATCGGATGACCTGTTAACTGTTCCGATTTTTTTAATCACCTTCTGACCTTGATAACTGAAATAACTCTGATGCATCCCGCCGATTTTGTTTACGATTTAAATTCGGTTTTTCCAGAAATTGTTATGGAGGTTCAATTCTCTCTTAAAACCCCAAAAGGGTATAACAATACATTTTCAGGCCTGCAATTGCATATTTTACTTATTTCATTTTGAGAGAAAATAAAGGACATAGGATTTGATAAAAACCTGTAAATAAAGCGAAAAAAAATAGTTTATATTATTCGCTCAGGAAATGATTAATACCGAAATTTTGCTTTGTAAAATAATCCGTCGGGGCCCCATTCGCTGTAGCTGGGTTTTAGTTGGTCAACAGCTGGTCTCGATTCAATTTGACCATACGACCTCTGACCGCTATTGACCACCGGTCAATATCCTCTAAATGACGATAAAGTATTTAAACAGGGAAGAAAAATGTGTTTATCAATGAAGTTAAAATCAGTTGTGGTCAATTTTATGAATGACTTACAGCGTTAGACTTCCCTCTTCATGAATGTACTTCCGTGCCATTGATAACGTCATGCTCGAACGACCATTTCCAAGGACCTCATCAGGCCATTGTATACTGACCAGTGTTGATGGACAGCTTAGGGAGGGGCAGATGTACAATCGGCATCGCTTTATCATCATTTTGTTTTAATGACACGGAATTTCCGAAATCCCAGTTCAACATTTTGACCATTTCTTGTGAATTAGAATCCTATCCCTTTTTCTTTATTTATACTGTAGTTTCTATAAAATTGTGTAAGAAACCATATTTCCTACTGAATTAAACAAATCTACAACAAGATCAGAAGGGCTGGTATGACGTTAGATCTATCCGTGTCCACCGAGATCAGAAGGGCTGGTATATCGTTAAAGTTATATGTCTGCAAAATATGGCAAATTTCATTTAAAGTAAGGGTTATTTATTGATAAACTCGGATCACCTGGGACAAAATGACGACTTGATTATACAAAATAAGTGTGGCTTCGAACATTTCATGCTACTCGTGCAGCTGATTACTTTTCTTTATATTTTGACTTCAAAATGATGATATTTAATGATGCATTTTATAGCAGTTATTCATACATATATAGCATATGAAAGCATGTATGTAAATTTTACGAGGGAAAATAATCGAAAAAATTAAGATGGGTAATGTGAGTTTTGTAGTTAAAATCACATTCATAGAATATCGAATTCGGAAAAGTCACTCCACAACTGCTACCAGATGGAGTGGTCATTTGGCGGTCAATGTCCATCACTGAGGTCACTAACACGGACCTCACTCGACCATTACACGGTCATGGGTCAAAATGGACTTGAATCAAAAAGTCATAAAAGTGTTTTTTCCACACTACGTTGTGAGGTTTACTTTAGGTCGAAACCGTTATATTTAATAGCAAAACTAGAACAGTTACTGTGGAGATTTATCGCTGGTGACGGAGAAAAATGTCGCCTGCTGCCGGTAGAGACTCTTAAACATTTCAAATCCTTTGGATTGTTTTTATTTTGTTCCATCGTGACCCACAGGGCTCAAAAAAAAAAAAATGCAAATGATCATACAAAGGTCGTAAGTTCTGTGAAAATTGTGAGAAAAATATCATTATGAAATGTGTGTAATTTCCGCTGGAATGTTTTTATTTCTTCTGGTAATTACACTATAACGACCAAGTGAAAATGGCAAATTATACAGCTCCCATTAATACGATAAAAGATACCTTAAAAGAAGTTTTATTATAGAACAACCTATATCGTGTATCGATTGAATTCATCACGTGCAACGATTTCATATATATATACACAGCATTCGTTTCAAGTCTTCCAAACGGCGAAACCACATTTGCAAAATTATAATAAAAGTGAATTATTTTATAATTGAACATTGTTTCATCCTCAAAATAGACCTTTTCATTTGATCTTGTCTCTATACTTATGTTTCTATACAATCTCGTGTATAGTTAAACTGGGTCACTGGGTGCCGTCTGGCATCAAGATCACGTTGTGATCACTTCTAGTCGATTTGTCACGTGGTTGCTGAATGTTTTCTACAAATTATCAAATTATTTCTAGCAGTGATTTTTGTGTGTTTTACTCGGGAGTATGTAAAAATGTTTTAAACTCGGTTTTCTTTACTGTGAATTCTCTTTCTTTTTTTTTAAATGGTCCAGTACTGCGGTTTTCCCTTAAAGCTTGTAACATCAAGTATACAGTTTCTTGGTAGTAAATTTCATTCGAGGGGTTTATTTTTCGCGTGTATGCTACCCTCAAAACACGCGAAAAATAGAACCCCACAAAATAATTATTATGCTGTATTTTTTCCTTTTACTTTATCTTATCATAAATAAATTTATCATTTTAAAAACAATGCTTAATTGATTATTTAATCATTTGTAACTACTATACGGATGTCCTATAAAGCTGTTTACTTGTGTTAAGCCTACACAAGGAATGGCCTTGACGCGACTTTATCAAAGATGTGATTAGCGACCGGATCGTCTTTTACGTCACCGAATTAATCCTTCTAAGAAATGTTATTAACAGCGTTGTACATTTGCAGTTGCAGCCACTTGAAGGCAGTCCGCGGGCAACAGGTCATCGACCTCCTACTCTCCACGCGACGACTTGGCCACAAGCCAATGGCCACGCTTAGTGGCATTTCTTTTATTTAATCCGAACAGAAAACCACGCTTAGCTCTACATTTGGATGCTTTAGGCCAGTGTATGATATCTTTGTATTAATGAAGTCGACACCTGTATATTCCGTTACAATAAGATTCTTGTTTAGATCACACGCACACGATCGCGTCTCACTTCAATACTTCATCAGTGCACTTTACAACAAATGGCTAATGATGACAGCATTTGAATATTTTATTATTATTTTCTGAGAGTTTTGTTAATTCTTGTCATTGCTGATATTGTTGTTCAAGTTTTTGACGAAAGCCATATAGAAACAAATCGGATTGTGTCCTACGTTTAAGAGTGTTACGTTATAGACGTCGCTGTGTTACTTGCGCTGCGGGATTTCTTCTCCTCCTTGTGCCGCGAGAGCGGACCGCAAGATACAGTGAGCAGACGACACAAGCAAAGGTAACATGGACGACTATCACGGCTCATCACCTTTCAATGGCGATTTTGATTTTTACGCTGAAAATTTATTTCAAAATTTTAACGAATCGACTGATGATCTCATGAATCTGAACTATACATTTGTGTTAGAGAGCGAAGCAGACGTGACAGAGAGACGGATCGTACCCCTGGTGTTTCTAGTAATATTCATCGTTGGTATTTTGGGAAACGCCATGGTGATTTTTGTGTTTTTACGTAATAAGGCCTTTCGGACAATTACTAACATATATTTACTGAACTTGGCGGTAGTGGACTTGCTTTATCTATGCCTGTGTGTGCCTTTTACTGCCGTGTTTTACTGGATATCCTACTGGCCCTTCGGAAATACGCTTTGTAAGTATACAAATTTTCATTACAAACACGAATCAATGTTAACGAATTATTATAAATCAAACATACATAAGTACGCGTTCTTGTGTAAAAATACAAATCGCTATCAGAGAATAAATTTCATTACAATTTGTATTAACTGGATGTGGTCGGACACGGGTACCAGCCTCTAACGTCAATACACTTCTACTGAACAAGATAACTAGATCGGCCTAGGGAAAAGGCCCAATTTAGGGAGACTTATAATGGTCACTTAATAGCTCGAGATATCTCGCTGGGAGTGGTTTGAATCGACAGCTATTTTTTTTAATTTGGTATATAATTCACTATGTATTAAGCCATAAAACTATTTTCAGACTTCATTTAACATCGTTAAATTGTCAGATTTCAGCTGGTCGGACATTTGTCTGGAAGCGAAATCAAACACTGAATCCCTAAAAATCAACTTTAAACACACCTTTACACGACATGTCCGTATTCGACTTAAATGCAGTGTTAAGAGTGATCATTTACTGACTTATTCCTACGTTATCCTATCAAACTTTACAGCTCAGATTTACAACTCTCGGTAAACAACCGGATTAAGACCGACATTCTGACTTATGAAAATGGAATTAGGCTGTAATATTCTGTAAGAACAGCGCTAATTATCCCAATTTTACCAAACTTCGGCGTTGATTGAATCGTAAAATTTAGACCAATTTGCATTTCCTTAAGCAAAAATAATGATATTCATAAGATAATGTGTCAGGAGTTTCAATGACGTCTTGTCTTTAATAACAAGGAATTTATTGACCATGACCATCGTATGTCCCCACCAGTTTTGGAAATTAAAGACATGACAGGGTCTTCTACATCAGCCGCGTATCACGATCTTTTCCTACAATGGAACCAACGTGGACAGCTTGCCACCTGGCTGTATGATAAGCGTGGTGATTTATCTTTTCTTATAATGAATTTTCTATTTCTGGATACAAACACCCCTGCATACCCAACCTTGTATGGTTTTCACAAGTCGCAGTTGGTTTGATGCTCATTGGTTTGCCTGTTGGTTCCGTTGTTATAAATCTTCTTCCTATTTGAGAAAGCAGTGCGGCAATTACTGGCCAAATTTCGAATGCAGCCGATGAGTTTCATGATAGTACTAGTGACGTAAGCCCTATTTGGCAGTGTTGGAGACCTGGTAGAATGTCATCTCAATGTTCAATGTATCTTCAGGATTATATAATGTCACATATTAAGGGGTTATCCAGCCACTAATAAATCTTTTGTTTTGACTTTATTGTACATTTCCAAGCTGAAGTCGAGATATTGTCATGAACATTCACGGTAAATTAACACCATATGCAGGACGTACGTGTTCTCTATTTAAACACGTTTCCTCCAAATGTACATTTACCTGTCGTCATTAGTCATGCATTTTCAGATCGATCAAGGCGGTGGACTGAAATAGGTTCTCCGTCACGGTATAACACCATACCTCTTTTAACGCTAAATGTATGCTTAAAATGTCTTCTTTTGTCGGCACAATTTTAACATTACCTTAAAACAGTAACAGTTGCGCTTTAATGTTCGCTATTATGAATATAATTTCTCCCGTCTTCAAATTAATAGCTATTTACAAACACAGAAACCGCAACCGCGTAACGTTTTCAGACGACACTCATCAAACCATAGCATACAATGGGTTTGCTTTGTTTTATCAATAAAATAAACTAAATCATTTTGTATTAAGTGAAAACAACGTGAAAGATCGTTTTTTCTTTACCATGAATTTTGAGCATGTGCGCTGGTCTCCCTTGATTTTAGAGTACCGGTATCTAAAATTACAACTTATTTTAGATAACATTTTGTGTATCTGCAGTTACAATGTATTAGAGTTTCTAAAGTGGCATGAGTAATTTCTTGCTTTGTATAAGATGAATGTTGCCAGTGACTCGGCCACATAATAATTCTATATACACGTAGTTCCTCCACACGCGAAAGATTTCTTTTTCGAATTACTTTATCACTGTATTCTAGAAAAGACAGGTTTCTTGTTAGTGAATGGATATTCTTTACAACCGTTAACTCAGAAACCTGCGCTGAATTACAGTCAAATGCATGAAGACTGCTGCAAAAGTAAAAAGAGAAAGAAGACCGGGAGCTAAAGAAGGATGAGAGTCCAAAAATGCCATAATTCCAAAAACAAATCTATGGCAACGAAATCATTTTCATTTGATATCAGAACAAACAATAACCAATAGATCCTCGAATACACAGCGAAGCATTACGCAACATCGTGTGTGAGGCAAGCAGATCACATAGGAAAATTGATCACTTCATGAATGTAAGTCAGCATATTTATCTTTATCAAAATGAAAAAAAAGAAAGAAAAACAGAAAAAAATATAGCAGCTATACAACAACATGCATTGGAAATGATGAACTCGTGTGTCACAAGATTATCAGTCTAGGAGAATTGAACGTGGCAGAGGTGCTTGTACAGTAGCAACAAAGACTTTGCAGTAGTTCTTAATTGAAAGGAAACTTGGAACGGGTTATTTTTTTAAGTTTTATTTATCAGTAATATTCTTTATCTAACCAGGTAAACACCGAACTAATTGATATGTTAGTGTTAAATGTTAAGTTTTCAGTTGAAAAAAAGCCGCATGATGGGAAGTCTCCTGCCTTTTTGTAATATCATTCAGCCTAGAAAACCCTTTAACAGCTCGATGGTACTCCGACCCCAGTAACACCAATTCACTATATATCAACGTGTCTTGTTCACACTTATAATCCTGACTACTATAAGGAGGAGAACGTCCACATGTTGATGAGACGGATATAGGAATCAGATCTCTTATTTTGAATATGGCTTCTGAAATAAATTGTGTTAGCGTAAAAAAATTAATGCGAACATAGGTTGTAGGCACACCAGGCAGATTTTTAATACAATAAATTCATGAGTGACCAATAAAGGCTAATAAAGATATATCATCATTTGTTGCAAAATTGTCAAAAACTGACTTATTAGGACTCTTTATATGCATAGTTTATGTCTTTGGTAATAATACTACCCACTCAAAAATGTTCCCGATAATTACAAGGAACACTTGCATATGTAAATTTACAAATGTAGGATAAGAACTATTTCTGCAATATTTTGTTTCAATCTTTTACTTGAGTTTTTAAAAGCAATGTGCTATGTGAATATTTCAAGTGAAAATATTGAAATCTGTACATTAAACATAAATTTGACCTACTTTGTAAATATTGTTTTGTAATTTTGTCTTAAATAAGATATTTGTGAAGTAGATATTGATTTTTTTCAGTTAATAGGTTTCCTCATGATTTTCAAGATTTTTACAAGAAAAAAATGAATAAATGAAAAAATATAGAAAAGTAACCATTTTTGTTACCTTTTTTACCAAAAAAATTGTCAAGTCATGGGAATGCTTAGATTTTGAGAAAATCCTATTCACATGGTAACATAATCACTGTGTAAAAGTTTCAAGATATCTAGAAGTTAATTGCGAAAATGTCATTCATTCTTAAAACTATTATACTTAGGGTGGTATAGTTTTTATAATCATATTGTCTTTTATTACTGCTGTTCTGAGGCAAATACAGCTTACTACAGTCATATTGTTTGATCAATATTACACTGACTATGAAATAACTTACTACGGTCATATTGCCTTTGAGCAATACTATATTAAGGAGTGGTAACATATCATTCTGCAGTTGTTATTACCGACCCTAAGCGGTGATCTAGAATTAACATTATAAGGTAATGAAATGTCTAAACCAACACGCATTGCCAATGCCATAATGTGAAACAGATCTTAATGACCATGTTTTAAAAAGGTACATATATGTAGAAGACACGGAGAGACTGGATTCATTTACATCCTCTGGCATTAATGTCCGTATTGAGAAATCTATTATAGAACCCTTACAATCTTAGTAATTATCTTATTTTAGTGGTAATCTCACTTCATTGGTAATACAGATTCACTGCTAATATTATTTCAGTGGAAATATTGAATCACTACTTATATTTTTTCAGTGAATAATGATACACTGCGAATATTACTTCAGTAATGATATCATTTCTGTGGTATTAATATTTCATCGTTGATATTAATTAAATGCTAATATCATCTCAGCGGTTATATGATTTCAGTGCTAATAATATTTCAGTGGTAATATTACTTCAGTGGTAACATTAGTTTGGTGATGAGATTATTTCAGTAGCAATAAAGGTTTAGTGATGATATTATTTCTGTAGTTATATAATTTCAGTGATATTATTTCTGTGGTAATATTATTTTGGTGATGATATTATTTCTGTGGTAATATTATTTTGGTGATGATATTATTTCTGTGGTAATATTATTTTGGTGATGATATTATTTCTGTGGTAATATTATTTTGGTGATGATATTATTTCTGTGGTAATATAATTTCAGTGCTAATATTATTTCTGTGGTAATATTATTTTGGTGATGATATTATTTCTGTGGTAATATTATTTTGGTGATGATATTATTTCAGTGGTAACATTATCTCAGCGGTGACGTTATTTTAATGATATCTATAAGCAATTCTGTTACAGCTGCTCACTCCTTATTGCAGACAATTTGTATCAACCATTTTTATTCATTTCTTATTTGCATGCATCCCCGCTATTGACATAGGAGCCAGTTAATATTTAATACGGCAGAATGTCACAACTAAATTACAACTGTAATTACATCGTACAGTGTTTTGAGAGATGCCAATACGGGCTTGATGAAGCTCGTATCATTGACAACCTAAGCATGCTTGGATATGATGTAATGTCTATACAACAGATATCAGCAGAACATGTTTAACCTCTCAGCACTCTTTCATTAATTATTCAACTTTTTCTTTAAGGCCACATTGTTCCCTTACCCATCTATCTGTCATCCCGTCGTAATTGCTTTCACGATATCATTTACTCTGTGACGAATGGAGATATATTTTGTGAAAATATGT